TCCGCAACACCAGGAATGGGTTAATTAAAAAAAAAAAAGTGAATGCCTTACCTGGAAGGAACCATACAAAGACTAACTTCCAGGGATCAAACACAAATCTGACACTCAAAAAGGGTGCCTCAAAGCTCATCCAGTGGCAAATGATGGTCAGATGACAAAATACCTCAAATATGTTAATGATACTACAAACTACTGCCCAGATGTCACTTTTCAAGTCTTTCCTCGTCAGTGCAAGAAATTAAAAAGATATTATGCTTCTGCTCCTGAAGTCTTCCCAAACTGGACTTTGGGGGAATATATTCTGAAAACTCTTTACCAGTGAACCTGGCTCTGAATTCTGCCAACTCAGAACTGTCTCACTCTGGGGTCACCCAAAGTCAGCTCCTTCTCTTGACTGCTTTAATAAGCAGTTGAGTCAAATGAAAAACACCAGACAGGGTCCTCAGAACCATCCAGTCTATGGTGTCTCTCCCCACTGATCCCCGGGGGCCTCTCCCCAACTGTTATTTGCTTTCATGCCTCATTGCATATGAATTGGCATTTGGACTCCTAGACTCGACTACACTGTGAAGATAGGAACTGACCTTTTGGGTGCAGAATATGAACTATACATTCAACAGCAGGAGATGAGAGCCATTTAGCAGACAGCAGGAGTCCTGCCTGGATAGCCTGGGGTTCTAGTCACTGCAGCCTTCCAACATTTCATTTTGCCAGTTGGGTGCTCTGTGGCTTAATCTGAGGGCTCCACGGCATGACATGAAAAGTCCAGACCTGCGGTGCTGCCTGGGCATACACAATTCTACCAGGCACAACTTGGACAAGAAGGAGCTTGCCCTGGAGCCCTCATGGGGAGCTCTTCTCTTTCCACTGTTTTGCACTGTGTGCTCTGTTGGCAACTGGCACTAGCTTCATTACCTCCAGTGGCTGCTTATGGGATAAAGTTGACTGGGTACCCACTGAATGCGGGCACGGGACCAGTCCCCAGAGCCTAGAGCAGGCTGTCTGCGCCGAATCCAGGAGTTTATAGATCTGCTTGCAAATTTTTATGCCTGCCCACAGCCATCCCGCAATTCGTGGAGACAGGCTAAAAAGGGAGCCCTCTTCAAACTCTTATCCGTAGCCCAGACTGCCGTTGCTTCTCTTTCAGCATTTGTTTGAACCAGACCTGTCTCCCACAGCTAATTTACACCTCTTATCTGATCATCCAGTCCAGACGGAAGGTTGAATTGACTGCGTTTGCCAGTGTCCGTGGCAATGGTGTTAAAACTCAAGCACAGATCAAAGCTCTCCAGGCAAGGGGCGGGCGCGGGGCGGGGGGGG